AATTTGATTTTGACTTGCAAAAGAAAATAAAATTTTTACAACATCTGAAGCTGGAAAAAAGCGTACTGCATATTACATTGAATAATGCTTATATGTCAAATTAAAGTAAATATATCAAATAAAACATAGGAATTTCTGAAAAGAAACCATGAATCTAATATTTGGAATTTATTCACCAATAAAAAAATAAAACCTGGCAATTCACAAATTATACTTTTTAAACAGAAACTCAAATTTGTTATCATATACACCTCAAGTTAAGAAATTGATATGCTAGGATGAGAGTAAGTCTCTAATATTTCATTGCATTGCAATTATCTATATATCTATCATCCATTTGAAAAAGAGGTGGGCGGCGGGTTAAAGGGTGCGCCAATAGGTGAAAAACACCACTCATTTGACATTTGATGGTAATTTATAGATTTCTTGGTCCTTTTCTCCGTTTCATTCATAATTTTCTATTTTTTTTTTCCAATTTCAATATCCTTGATGGAATAATTCAGAAACCTGAACTGACCTCATGAGTCATGAGGTCTTCCCTATTTTTTTTTTTGGCCCCTTTAAGGTCTCCTTTTGAGTTTTGAATACTTGCAGTACCGTATAAATAACAAGTTGGTGTACAAAACTCTATCCTGATCAGAAATTTTTGGATATTCCTATTTAACACTAGAGTATTGCTTTAAAAAATATGACAGGAAAATCATGACATATCTAAATGACTTACCGTATGGGGAGATGGTGAGACAAAAAGCAAGGATGATGAAAGAAAAATCAGATAACAATAAAAGAGAGAGAAACACAAGATTATAACATATATATCATGATATATCTTGTTTAGTATTGTAGATCATTATCGTTAGCATTAATGCATGTGATCCGAGTTTTGCCCTCATATAGATATACGGTAGGTAAATGATTAGAGGTATGCTGATTTAATAGTGCCTCTATCTTCCACAATTTACCCCAAAAAAAATAGAGCACAATCACTTGAGCGGGCTGCTATTTATAAAAAATAACGTTAACAATATCACTTTTTCTACATAAATAAACAAATGTTCATTCCAATCATGTGTGTTCACGCTAATAAATAACCATAATCATATTGCAAATGACTGAATGGGACTGGTAGAGAACAGCATTTTGCTATCGCAGAAGGTTCTTTCACACTGGAATGAGCTCAGACAGCAGTCAACTCTCACATTTCACATCTAACGTGCCTAAAATACAAGCATTATTGTCATCAATAAGCTGGTTCCAACTCATTATTGTCATCTTTGCATTATTTTGAAGCCTGGAACCCCACAATTGCATCAGCAGAGTCTAATCCAACTTCACCGATTGCAGATTTCCGTCTAAAAGTATGGTGTATTATTGCACAAATTGGCTTCCTCGTAAGTTCAGGGCATCTTGTGATTAATTTATTGATCTCCTTCAATTTGGTTTTTAGCTCTTTCGTCCTAAAGGACGTTTTCAAGGATGATTCTCGTAAGTTCAGGGCATTTTGTGATTAATTTACCGATCTCCTTCATTTTGGTTTCTAGCTCTTCTGTCGTGAAGGACACTTTGAAGGATGATGCCAGCCTTCTACCCACCATTGACTGTTGTTGATCAACATGGTGTATCTTGTTAATTACAAATATTTATATTTATCTATACTATAGTTACCTTCAACATAGTGCACATAGATGCCAGCTTTTCTACCTGCTACCATTGACTTTTATTGGTCAACAGATTTACCTTGTTAATTACAAAGATTCATCAATATCTGGATCTATACCTTTGCTAAAAGAGTGAGTTTGTATTGATAGTTGAGTGTTCAAGTTTTTTCTTTTCAAGATCACCCCTCTTACAAAATAATTAGGACCACGTTGTGTCCCTAAATTTGAATGCATTTTCTAATATCATTGAGGGTATTCATGTATTGTCACAATCAAGGTCTCATATTCAAAAAAAAATTTTATTGCATCAAATTTTCTTATGAATTATGAAATACAATTAGCATTGGAATGAAACAAGTTAGTGCAATTTCGTCCTTAACTTTCTCATACGACTTTGACAATTTTTCTGTAGTTGGTTACCATATAAAAATGACAAACATTGATAGAATTTTATAATATCCATAGTGTTACTCTATCTCCTTTCTTATGATGTTTCTAGGAACCGATAGTATTATTGACCACTACGAAAACTTTGTACCTCTGCTTCTTTTGTTTCAAAGCTGCTTTCCGGCTTACAGCGAGTAGCTCATATAATGCTTCTTATCGCATTTGAGTCCAAATTATGGCTCTACAATAGTTAATTTTACCAGTGAATTTCAATTCATTAACTCAAGTAGCAGCTTCGTACTAGGATTTGAAAAAAAAAATTGAACTACTACAACTTTTTTAGCCTATGACTCATTAAATTCAGGAAAAACAAATCTAACTATTATATGTTTCAAATTTCTCTTTTTCATAACAATATCCCTATGTAAAAATCTTCTTTACAAGGATACATTCTCACTGACCAAAGTCATTCATTTTACAAAGAAGGAAGAAGAAAAATAGAAACACAAAATTTTGATTTGACATAAAATTTTTCAAAGTAGATTTGGACCTATACAGTGAAGTTGCAAAATTAGAATTCTAAATAGATATGATTGGAAAATTCTCGATGTGGACGTGGAAAATTCAAAAGAATTGTGTAACTTTGACATAATTTAAAAATGGAAAATTAAGCACTATCCATCATAACTTGAATACAATTAATATTTCGTGAAATGACTAAACTACTCATTCTCCGATCACCTAACAATGGACTCTGACCTCATCATTTAAGTCTCGATTTTTATTGCCATGTGTCACTCTGACAGCCAAGGGACGAGATCCACGTTGAGTAATTGTTCTAGGGTTAATCACATTTTATCCCCTTAAAGAATACCTCATTTCTCAGTTTACCCCATAACCTTTAATTTTGCTCACTTAACCCCCTTTAGGACAAAATTGCCCTTGTATTACTTTGACTTTTTATTTACCTTGTTTTCCTTTCTTTTGTTTCTTTTTCTCTTTCTTCTTTATTTAATTCTTCCTCTTTCCCACAAAAAATTTCACCTTAATGATTGAAATTAAAAAAGAGGAATTGCAAAGATCTATTTTCTTCTTAAATGATTAAAAAAATATTCAAATCACTTTCCTAAAATACAATTTTTTTAGCCTTTCAATTCTTTTAATTTTGGGTTTTCCTCTTTCCTTTCTAGTTTCTCATTTTATTTTCAAGAAAATATCATAAGATGAAATTGTTTTCCTTTCTTTTATTTTTTTTCTCTTTCTTCTCTCTTTCATCCTTCCCAATAGAAATTCCATTTCAACGAAAATTTTTGTTTTGAGTTTATAATTGCATATTTCTGGGTGAAGGTTTAAAAGACATCAAAAACTAATTTTGATTTTTTGTATGATGCCACGTGTCACAAATTTCAATTGATGATTATTAATCAGGTCACAATTTCATCTTAAGATATTTTCTTGAGAATAAAATAAGAAACTATAAAGGAAAGAGGAAAACCCAAAATTAAAAGAATTGAAAGGCTAAAAAAATTATATTTTAGGAAAGTGATTTGAATATTTTTTAAATTTTTTAAGGAGAAGATAGATCTCTGCAATTCCTCTTTTTTAATTTCAATCATTAAGGTAAAGATTTTTGTGGGAAAGAGGAAGAATTAAATAAAGAAGAAAGAGAAAAAGAAATAAAAGAAAGGAAAACAAGGTAAATGAAAAGTCAAAATAATGCAAGGGCAATTTTGTCCTAAAGGGGGTTAAGTGAGCAAAATTAAAGGTTAGGAGGTAAACTGAGAAATGGGGTATCTTTTAAGAGGATAAAATGTGATTAACCCATTGTTCTACTATCCAACCAGGAAAGTCACGGCCAATTTCAATCCACTTTCCTATCAATAACGGTGCTGCTCCTACCTTCTCCTCTGTAATACTCCATCTTCCTAGCTAAAGGCCTTGCACATACTGCATTGTTTTAATTTTGATTCAAATTATCATCTTCCTCGCCCGTGTTCTCTTTTTCATCAAACTTGGATTTGACAGGGTAGGTTCAGATCAGCTATTGCCAGAGGTTTCATTTTCTCTCAAGTAAGTGCTGAGATTTGTTTACTTTTCTTGAAGTTCAAGGTTTTTTTTTCTATTTTATGAACATAGCCAAAAAAATGATCACGTATAAGTTACGTAATGGATTTCGATCAAAAACTAGTCAAAAATTTAAGTAAGAATCAAATTTAGTCAATATGAATTTGTAAGGAACATAAAATTATATTTTAAAAAATAAATCACCTTATAAAATATAAGAAACGTTTTGAATCATTTTCCCTGATTTTATTGCTTCGTCAATGAAATCAATAATGTCCAGTTGCCCTCAGGGGCTTGGTCTGGTGGTTGAGGGTGCTGAAGATGGGGCTTCAGGTCCCTGGTTCGAACCTTGCTGCCAGCAAGTTGTTGAGGATGGTGAATAGTCTGCGGGGTCCACTCCCTGCGGGACACACCTAAAAAAAAAAAATAAAAAAAAAAATAATGTCCAGTCCAACCCCGCTTTGTAAAGAACCCACAGTTCAAAGATGCTCCTTTATCTTTATCCGACCATAGGACCCACAGTTGAAAGAAGGTCCTGAAGGCTGATCACCCCACCATTTGCAGTTGTGTCTTCTTCATAGCTTCCATGATTCTGTATTGTAAGCAGGTAAGGCAGCTTCGTCTTTCAAACTCACGTTGCTGCCCATCTTCCTGCCTTCAATTTCCATCATGTTTTTTGCTTTAGTTTCTTCTAATTTTTTAATTCTTTCTTTTTCTTTTGACGCGGTTTTTCTTTTTGATATATACTGCACCATATAGTTTCAAAGTTCATCAGCTTATGAATCTATAACCTACTCTTCCCTCTTCCTTTCAAGACACTACAAGTGGACTGTCCCATAAACGAGAAGCTGCCTTCCACGACATTCTCTAAGTTAGAAAGAAAGACTGAAAATGGCAGAAAAAGTTCTCTCTTTTGTGCTGGATCAACTCTCAACTTTTCTGCGCGAGGAGGGACGACTATTGGGTGGGCTTCGGCAAGAGGTCCAATTCATCAGGGATGAGTTGGGGCACATGAGGGCTTTCCTGAGAGAGGCAGAAGCAAAAGAAGAAGATGCTCAACCCAGGCTCCAAGAATGGATCAAGCAAGTGCGAGAAGCAGCTTATGACACTGAAGACATTCTTGATGAATTTGTAGCTCGCTTTGCTCGGCATCGCGAAACAGGATTCTACGGCTCTGTTTGGAGAATTTTCAGCTCCATCAAGAATTTGAGAGCTCGTTATCGAGTTGCTAGCGAAATACAAAGCATCAAGTCAAGAATCAAAAGTATTTCTGAAGCTCATCAAAGATACCAATCTGAATATGGTATCTTTGCCCAAGCATCCAACTCAATTTCTGCTGTGAACAACACAACATGGCGTTATAGCAGAGATGATGCACTGCTTGTGGAAGAAGCTAAATTAGTTGGCATTGACCAGCCCAAAAACCATCTAATTTCTCAGCTTCTCGAAGGGGATGATTACCAACTAAAAGTTGTTTCAGTGGTTGGTATGGGAGGACTTGGCAAAACTACCCTGGTGAAAAAAGTCCATGAGGATCTTGAAGTCAGAAGGCATTTCCCAGTCCGTGCTTGGGTAACTGTCTCTGAAACATGTGACTTTCAGTACCTCCTGAAAGACTTGATTCGGCAGTTACACGAGGAAGGGAAGAAACCAGTCCCACAATCGATCGAGTCCATGACTACCACTGAGCTGAAAAAATTTGTCAAAGATTTTCTTCAACAAGCTGAAAGGTATGCAATTGTTTTTGATGACAAGCTGAAAGGTATGCAACCGTGTCATGCTAACAACTCGGAAAGCTGATGTAGCCTCAGCCTCTTGTACAGAATCTCTGGGTTATATCTACAGAATGAAGCCACTATTCTTTGAAGATTCGTGGACCCTATTTTGCAACAAGATCTTTAAGGGAGGTAGTTGCCCTGGCCATTTGATGGATGTTGCCAAAGTTATATTGGGTAAATGTGAGGGCTTGCCCCTTGCAATTCTTGCAATCAGTGGGCTTTTGGCTTTGAAAGATGTAAACAGAACAGAGGAATGGGGGATGGTTCGACACAGTCTTGGGGGTGAATTAGAAGGCGCTGGTAAACTGGATAGAGTTAAAAAGATACTCTCTCTCAGTTATAGTGATTTGCCCAGGCATCTAAAGACATGTCTGTTGTACACAAGCATCTTCCCAGAGGATTACAAAATACAATGCTATAGACTCATTAATTTGTGGATTGCTGAAAGGTTAGTAGAAGGGAGAGAAGGAATGAGTATTGAAGATGTAGCCTGGGGTTATCTTAGTGAACTCGTCAATAGAAGCCTAATTCAAGTGACTGATGTGTTTTATGAAGGATTACCCAACAATTGTCGAATCCATGACCTGTTGAGAGAAGTTATTGTTCTCAAGTCAAGGGAACAAAACATGGTCACAGTCACTACTGGACAACCAATGACATGGCCATCCGAGAAGGTACGCCGTCTGGCAGTCCATAGTAGTAGCAGTAACAATACCCAGCACCACCAACAAAGACGAAGTTGTTGCTTTGACCACCTTCGGTCGTTCGTTACAGTTGGATCCATGAGCCCGCTACTATCCAAAACATTGTTATCTGAAATTTCAAGGAGTAGTAAGCTGTTAAAGGTTTTGGATTTGCGTGGTCAAGAGACACAGGAGGAAATACCAAATGAGATTTTCAAGATGTTTCATCTCAAGCATCTGGACCTATGGGGTACGAGAGTAGAGAGAGTCCCAAAATCCATTGGAAAGCTTCAACATTTGGAGTATCTGGATTTGGCTGACACAAGAGTTAGGGAATTACCCATGGAAATGCTAAAGCTGCAAAAACTTCGGGTTCTCAGAGTATTTCAACAAGTTGATTCTTTCGATGATGATTATGGATATCATGGATTTAAAGCTCCCTCAAATATGGGAGGGCTTATTGCCCTAGAAGTATTAGATAGCATAGATGCAAGCGGTGGATCCACAATAGTTAAGGAGATAGGAAAGTTGACCCAATTAAGAGAATTAGGTATCACAAATTTAAGAAGAGAAGATGGAAAGGAGCTCTGCTCCTCCCTTGCCAACCTCACCAGTCTTCGGGAATTAAGCATTGCTTCAATTGGAAAAGGTGATGATCATGAGATAATCGATCTAAATCATCCTTCTCTTTCTTCTTCTTCGTTTCTTCAATCTCTTCGTATGCTGATTTTGCGTGGCCGCTTAGAAAAAATGCCACAATGGGTAGCTCATCTTCACGGCTTGGTAAGAATAGATTTGAATTGGAGCAGGTTAAGAGGCGAGGAGGATCCGCTTGAATCCCTCCAACATTTGCCCAATTTGGTTAGTATTAATTTCTGTGGATCTTACCAAGGAGAAGGGTTGTGTTTCAAAACTGGAGGGTTCCTAATGCTGAAGAGGTTGCACCTAAAGAGAATGGAAGGGTTGAGAGGGATGAGAGTGGAGGAGGGTGCATTGCCTCGTCTCCAAAAACTATTTCTAGAACAACTTCCGTTACTAGAGGAGTTACCATTGGGTATTCAGCACTTGAGCAATCTTCAACGGCTGTCTTTGTATGAGATGAGTTCTCAATTGAGAGAGAAGCTGTTAGAGAATCAGAAGGAAGAAAGTGAAGATTACACAAGAATCGCACATATTCCTGAAATTCTCATTGGTTACTATACAGATGATGGGGAATGGAGAGAGCACCAGCTATGGGAAGAGAAGAAGAAGAAAACATATAATCTTTCCTAGCAGCAACAGCAGCAGCCACTGTGGCTTCCCTTGTGGACAACACTGCTTTCTCTTTTTTTGATTTTATTTTTTATTAGTAAATTTTTTCCCATTCGACATCTTCTGTGAGACAAGTTCATCATCTTCTGTGTCTTACCTTCTTATTTATTGTATGTATTGTGTATAATGCTTGATGTTGTTAATGTACTGTATACTATTACTCTTTATCTTTTCTTTAATTGATTTAGCAAACAATCAATTTTGGTTTAATTTATCCTCCCTTCTGCTTGTACAAATCTGCTCTTTCCTTCCCTAATTTGCCAGTGTTTCAATTTGAATTCGATTCAATTCACTTTAAAGATTTTTTTTGAAACTTGACGAATTTAGGTGAACAATCAATAATCTTTGAGTAGTATAGAAGGTGTCGTCACTTTTTTTTTTTTTTTTTTTGCAGTATTTATTGGAAAATCAAAAGATGTGGTATATGCTGGCAATTAGGAACAAAAATGCGGATGATCTCGGTATATGTATATTGGTACTTGGCAATTAAGAGCAACCACTGACCCATTTGCTTTAGCAATGTAAGGGCTAGCTAATATTAAGTTGGGTAAATTGTATTTTATCCCCTATGATTAGGTACTTTACCACATAACCTCTTTACAGTTTAAAAACATATATATAATCTCCTCATGGTTTGAATTACAGTGTCACCTTTAATTTTTTTTTATTAAAACTAACAATCAATAGTAAAAGGTCAAAATCAAACCAATAAATTGACAAATTTATCTTTTCATTACTTGAAGAAATTTAAATAAAATAGATAAATAAGAAATAGAAAATGCCATTAAAATTTTGTTTTAGAAACCTATAATGATATTTGTAGTAAAAAAAGATTTGGTATTTTTTGTTTCTCATTTACTTTTTTATATTTCCCTTCCATCTTTTTTGTTTCATAATTATTTATTTTTTATTTTCCTTCCATCTCTTTTATATTTGGAGAAAATTAAGATTTTGTAAGCCAAAACATAGGTTTTCAAAATCACCTCTTTTTTCCCACACACACACAGAGAGAGAGAGAGAGAGAGAGAGAGAGAGAGAGAGAGAGAGAGAGAGAGAGAGAGAGAGAGAGAGAGAGAATAATGAAAACGTGAATTTGTCAATTTATTAGTTTGATTTTGACTTTTTACTATTGACCGTTAGTTTTAACGGAAAAACTAACAATGACACCTTAATCCAAATTATAATGGAGTTCTATATATTTTTTTAAATTATAGAGGGTTACGTGGTAAAGTACAAAATCACAAAAGCACAAAACTATAGAGGATTCAGGACCTAATACATAACAATCTCAACTAGATAGATGCTCACATCAATCTCCTTGTTCTTTGATACTGAGCTTGCCGCAGAACCATCTGCAGTTCCAAACTGTATTATTTGATCTTCAGACATGGAAAGGCCCTCATATATCAAACTAGAAATGCAAAATCAACGGGTGTTCCCCTAAGCACTGGACAAAGTTATTGCCGACAATTACCTCAGGAAAAAAGAAAATGTACAAAAATTTATGTTAATGTTCCCCACCCGCACTTTTCACAACTTAGCTCATTTTTTAAAGGCCTGCTCCTCCTTTTCCTCTCTTGCCGTTCCTACAGTCCATAACAGGCCAAGACTAATTTTCGTCATCCTCAACTAGGTTCAGACTATGGAAAGCATCACCCATTATGCAATCGTATGTTCATCCAAGTCTCGAGATTATTCAAAAAACTTCACAGGGAACTGAACATTCAAACTCCAACAATCTACAGGAAGCTCATCTATTTGGATTATCAAGCATTTTTACATTACTAGTAATGAATCGTGTACTTTTCACGTGAACATGAACATGATGTTTTTAAATTTTTTTCCTTAAAATTTTGGAAAATGTAATTTGCACTTCATTTTTTTTTAATGTCACCACATATCTTAACAAATGAAAACTATATGATTTAAGCGATAGTGGGAGTATGATTAATAGAAATGTGACTGCAAATAATATTTCTCAAAAGTTTTAGAAAAACAATTGTTTTGAAGGAATAAATGTAATTGAGACAAAAAAAATGTGATATTTAATATTTTTATAATTTTTTGAATTTGGTTGCTATAACCAACACAAATGCCTAGGCAACATAAAGCATTATTTAGCCTGAGGGCACTTTTAATTTGTAACAATATCAATGTTTTTGTCTTTCAGTTGAATTTGGATTATCTGAGTGTTCTCTTTTATGTTATTTGAGTTTAAATTTTTAACTTATTAACGAAAAAAAGGATATTTATTATTCATGTTTTTTTTTATTTTTTCTGAATTTGGTTTGCCCTAACCAATACAAATGCATGAGTAATAAAGCATTATTTGTTCCAAGAGGACTTTATTTTGTAAGACAATTAATGTTTTCTTCTTTCTGTTAAATTTAGATTGTCCGAATGTTCTCTTTTACGTCATTTGAGTTAAAATCTTTATCTTTTTAAAAAATTTGTTGTTCCCTTTTAAGTCACTCTATGAATTTTTAAATAGTTTTAGTGATTTTTTCTAATTATTATTATTTTTCGCTAATGGTGGATTGTAAAATGATCTATAGTACTATTATAATTACTATAGCATTTAAATATACTGAATTCCATTGTTCAAATTTAAAATAGCTTAATTTTAAAGAGAAATATTTTCATTTGTTGAAACTTTATCATTGATGACATGATTTATGATTATAGATTTATATGATTAAAAATTGTAAGCTGTTAAGATTATTTATTATATAACAGTCAAATTGAATTTGGAAATATTTTTATTCACCTTTGATGTACTCTCTGAAATTGGATATACTTTTTAATTTAATCACCATAACTCAAATGAGTGTTTCACCTTTATAACTATTATTATGATTGGCATTGATATATTTAATGCTATCAATTGTTAAAATAATACCATTAATAAAGTTCATTAAATTTAATTTTTGTTGCAATATAAACCAATAAATTTTCAACATAAAACTCTTTGCCTTCTTTCATACTCCAGTTCTTATTATATTTTGTGTTAAAATTTTTTACTTAATACTAATATACTCATACTAAAACGTGCTCTTAAGGCTTAATTTACTTTTATCCAAAAAATAAAAAGATTCATGATATTTTTTAAGAGACTCATAGTACCAATTTATTATGCTTTGTTTCATGTTTGAAGTACTCTTTAAACTTGGGTATTTCATAAATAAAATTTTTTATTCTTTTTTTGATAAATAAAAAAGTAAGAAATCTTTTATTTTTGTCACTACTAGCATGTTTGATATTATTTATTAATGAAATGCAATGCAATTTGTCCATTTATTAGAGAAGAGTGTAATTGTGGCATCACAGAAACTAATATCATTTTTTTTTTGCTTACACTATTAACCACTAAAATTTACCATATTTTTTTATAATTTATAAATAAAATTTGTTGTTCTTTTTTCGATTTAATTCACTACAACTCAAGGGAATGTTTTTCATTCCTGTAAGTGTTGGAATAATTGATATTAATTGTTAATGTAATGCAAGTAATTGGTCATTCTTTTTTTTTTTTGGGCAAATATGAATCTTTATTGATCAAGATATAAGCGAGTACACACAGGAATCAAACAATTCCTACTTACATAAATTCTATCACTATTACAGTAATGCAAACTCAAATCTTGCTGGAAACACACATGACATAATCCGAACTCCATATTTAGCTCCCAATTGGCTTTGGTCTGTGGGACTCCTCTCCAACTCACAACAGTAATTTTAACTGATTCAAGGACCATAGACACAATGGTCACAGCAGAAATACATTTCCGTTGAAATATGATTTGGTTCGTCGCACATCATATCTGATAAATTGCAGTTGAAAACACCAACCTTCTGATTTGACCAATAAATGAGTTTGAGTTGCAGTTATCAGAATACCATTTTAACTCAGCATCCCAGGGTAATCTGCTCTTAACTATTGCACGCAAGTACTGTAGCTTCTGCCATACTGTATTGGATGGAGTGCAATCAAAGAAAATATGCCTAATGGATTCCTCAGCACTATTACGTAGGACACACTGATTTTACTCCAAAGCCACTCCCCAGGCCTTTAAACGGTCTCTGGTAGGTAATCTTCCTCTACAACGCATCCAAGCAATGAAAGAGTAACGCGGTACAGTACCTTTCCCCCATACCAGCTTGTCCCATGGCACTGGAGCTCCACAAACTCAAAGTTTTGACATTGCTGAATAGAATGTTGTTAATTGGCTAGAAGCACTACCATACCAGTATACTTCATCCGCAACATGTGTATTAAGCAAAAATAAATGCGGGGTCTCCCGTATTAGTTTCTTTATCTCCCCTGTTCTTCGTCTCCCTTGGGGCCATTTCCACATACTCCCCTGAATACACCTAGAGACTCTTGAAGCTTTTGCGATCAACAAATTTTCAGAAAAATATTTATATAAAGGACCAATAGGGTGCCAGCAGTCATACCAGAAATATGTATCAGCACCATTTCCAATCAAATGTCTAATGAAAGGCTAAGCTTCTTCCCTTAACAACAATAATATTTTCCTCCATACCCAAGAACTATTAACCAGGAGGAAGGAGCTGAATTTAATCTTGCTCCATTATGGATTCAAGTGTGGAATCTTCCAGTGCATTGGATTTCTAAAGAGGTGGGAAAAAAAATAGCATCAGTGTTTCATGAAACTAAGGAAGTGATTATCCCTCAAGGAGGAGGAAAGGAAGGAAGACATATCAAATTACTAGTGCTGGCTGATATATCCCAACCTCTCATGAGAGGTACTACGGTGAAATTGGAAGGAAAGGTGAAGTGGCTAAGTTTCAAATATGAGAGGGGACCTGATTTCTGTTATACTTGTGGTAAAATAGGTCACAGTGATAGGAAGTGCCCAAATAGAAGTGTAGGTGGGAAAGGTCAGCAGGATAATCAATTTGGCCCATGGATGAGAGTAGGAGGGGGGCATTTGTCGCCT